CTCTCGGATCAAAACCTGCACCTCGGGTCTGGGGTGGCCCCACCCTCCACGCCATTGGACACGTGGGCGGAGCCGGGCTGGAGTTGTGTCTGGTGGCTGCCGCCCTGTCCTTTGTCTCAGGCCCCTGTTCTGGGACCTTTGCTCCATAGCGCAGCGCCACCTCCCAGCGCCGAATTTCCCCAACGCTGAATCTTCCCCAGCCCCTGGAAGGGCTAAAAGCCCGGGGTAGGGGCTTCCCCAAGCCGCGAGGAGCCATTGGCTGGGCTCAGCCGCCGATGGGTTTATCCGGACCCCAGTCTGCAAGAGGGGAGAGGACATTGGGGGCGGGGGCGGGGGTGTCCAGCCAGGGTGGCGTGAAATCAGACTGGACCTGACTCCAAATCCCGCTGCACCACTTAGCACCTCTGTGACTTTAGCCAAGTGGCTCCACCTCTTTGTTTTCCCCATGGGGATAATAGTAATTCCACTTCAGGGTTAAGGATCAGGGCTTGACATATAGTAGGAGCGGGATAAATGTGAAGTATTATTATTCTCTTTTTGTCCGGCCCAGGCCTCCTTTTGGAGTGCCCCCAACCACCACCGCAGGTCCAGCCACCAATTTGTCATCCCCCTGCTCCCCAAAGTCTAGCTTCAGTTTATACCTCTAGGTCCTTGCCCACTTTCCCTTCAACTATCTTTCAAAACCTAGGGCTGTACCTCTCCCACCTGGACCCTTGCCATCTTCTGTCTCAGGCCTCCATACTAACCCCCCACACTGTCCATCTTCCACCCTGGCCTCAGAGGGATCTTTCTAAAATGCAACTATGATCACCTCCCTTCCCAGCTCTAAATCCTTCAATGGCTCCCTATTGCCTTTGGTAAACAAAGTTAAAAATAACCACTATGGCACACCTTTATGGCAGTATTATTAACTTTATTAGACAATTCAAGATGAACAGATTGCCCAGAGTCACACAGCTCTCCAGTGGATTCCAAAGCCTATCCTTTGCTATATGTATGAAGTCCAAGCAGCCTCACCCTATATCTATTAAGGACATTGAGTGTGTAATTTTAAAACTCCCAAAAAAGAAATTTCCAGGCCTGGCTGGGTAGCTCAGTTGGTTAGAGCAGAGCATCATCCCAATGAGCCAAGGTTGCAGGTTTGATCCAGTTAGGGCATGTACAAGAAGCAACCAATGAATGCATAATAAGTGGAAAACAAATCCATGTTTATTTCTCTTCCTCCCTGCCTCCCTGCCTCCCTGCCTCCCTCCCTCCCTCCTTTCCTCTCTCTCTCTAAAAGTCAACTTAAAAAAATTTTTTTTTAATCTCCAGGTCCAGATAATTTTTCTACCAAAGGTTCAAAGAAGAATTAACACCACTTTTATATAACCTCTTCCAGGAAATTGAAGAGGAATGAAGACTTGCCAATTCATTAGATGAAACTAGCATTAATTATCATGATACCAAAACCAGGTAAGGATGGTCCAGAGAAAGAAAACCACAGACCATGTCCTTCATGAATAGGGACAGAAAACTCTTTAACAATGTGTTAGGAAATAGAATTCAACAACATATAAAAAGAATTATGCACCACCCAACCAGCATGTCTCCTCAGTTGAGCATCCACCCGATCCAGGAGATGGCGGTTCAATTCCCAGTCAGGGCACATGCCCGGGTTGCAGGCTCCATCTCCAGTAGGGGCGTGCAGGAGGCAGCCAATCAAATACTCTCATCCCTGATGTTTCTATCTCTCTCTCCCCCTCTCCCTTCGTCTCTCTGAAATCAATAAAGACATATTAAAAAAAAAAAAGAATTATGTACCATGACCAAGTGGTGCTTATTCCAGGGATACAAGGTAGGTTCAGTATTCAAAAAGAAATGTTATCCACCATATTTAACAGGCTGTTGTGGGCAGAATAATGGCTCCCTAAAGATGTCCCTGTCCTGATCCCTAGAACCTGTGAATATGTGAAGTTACACACTGAAGGGAATTTAAGGTTGCAGATGGAATTGAAGTTGCTGATCAGCTGACTTTAAAATAGGGAGGTTATCCCATTGTAATTACAAGAGACTTTAAAAGCGGAAGAGAGAGTCAGGGAGAGGTGACAGTGGAAGAAGTTAGGAATGATATGATGATGTGAGTATTTTACTGTGTTGCTGCCTTTGTAGATGAGAAAGGGGACTATGAGCCAAGGAATATGGGAAAAGTCAAGGAAACATTCATCCTTTGAGCCTCCAACAAGGAATGTAGCCATACCAATACCTTGATTTTAGCTTCAGGAGATCCATGTAAGATTTCTATACCTACAGAGCTATAAGATAATGCATTTGTGTGTGTGTTTTTAAGCCCCTAAATGTGCTGTAAAGTTGTTACAGCAGCCACAGAAAATAAAAGCATTGACTGAAGAAGAAAAGTTGTACAATCATATCAACAGATGCAGAAAAAGCACTTGACAAAATTCAACACCCACTTATAATAAAAACTCTTAGCAAACTAGGAAAAAGGGAAACCACCTCAAGTTAATGGAGAACATGTACAAACTTTCAGTTAACATTGTACTTAATGGTTAAAGATGAAATGCTTTCCTCTTAAGATTGGAAACATAGCAAAGATGTCCACTCTCACCATTTTTATTCAACATAGTATTGAAAGTTCTAACCAATGCAATAAGGCAGGACAAGGAAATAAAAGCAGTACAGGTTGGAAAGGAAAAAATAAAACTAGCCTGATTTGAAGATAACATAATGGTCTACGCACAAAATCCCAAGAACTGTACAACAAACACCCCTAAATTAATATATAAGCAAGTTCAGCAAGGTTGTAGGATATAAGACCAACACAAAAGTCAACAGCATATCTGTATACTAACAATGAATATGTGAAAATTGGAATTAAAAATACAAAGATAGGCCCTGACAGAGTAGCTCAGTTGGTTAGAGCGTTGTCCCAATATACCAAGGTTGTGGGTTCAATCCACGATCAGGGCACATACAAGAATCAACCAATGAATGCATAAATATGTGGAAGAACAGATCAATGTTTCTTTCTCTCTCTCTCTAAAAATAATAATAATAATAAATAATAAATAACAGGGACATCGCTCTGGCTGGTGTGGCTCAATAGTTAGAGCATGGGCCCATGCACCCAAGGGTCATGAGTTCAAGTCTTTTTTTTTTTTTAAACTTTTTATAATTTTTATTTTTGTTTAAAGTATTACAGATGTCCCTTTTTCTCCCCAATGACCCGTTCCCCCCCCATTCCTTCCCCCTCCCCAGTCACTCTCCCCACCAT